ATGTGTCCCAGACTTCTACCTATTAAGACCTGGCAAACACATCTGCGTCCATTAGCTGCATAGATAGGGCTGGGGATGGAGCTCAGTGGAAGAGCACGTGCTTAGCACGTATGTGCAAGGCCCTGGGTGCAAACCCCAGCGCACGGTCAGGGGAGGGCGGGGACCCTGATTCAGAAGCAGGCGGTGACCGATGTGCGAGTCTGGTCGCACAAGCAGTAAAGAGGACGAGGACCCCGGTGTCAGGCACTTACCGTGGGAGGACTTGTTCCGGGTTCTGCACCGCCCTGCTGTGGGCTGGCTGGAGAGCCCCCCTCCCCTCCTCTTGAGAAAGCAGCCCACGGCCACCAGGAAGCAGCAGAGTATGGTGCAGAGGCAGAGCCCCAGCGTGCTGTAGATCAGGACCAGCTGGTCGGCGCTCAGCTTGGGTCCCACGAGGACTGCAAGACAAGTGCAAGTGCAGGACCCTGAGTTCAAGGCCCTTCTCGGGTGGCCAGCAGCCATCCCCACCCCGTCATTGTGGAGTAGTTGCAATGGAGACTGCATGGTCCCCAAGGTCTAAGATACTCTTTTACTGATCCTTTCCAGAAAAAAAAAAAAAACTTGCTGATCCCCTTGGGGTTGCAGGAGCAAGGTGTCAGTGAGGAGGCTGAGAGAGGTGAGACAATAACCCAGGTGACAATGAAGAGAATTCAAATCACAGAGGTCATGCAAGTGTCTGGAATCAGGATCTATTTTCAAGGTAGAAGCAACACATGGTGGGCAAAATTGACAGTATCTAGGTTTATTTCTAGCAAAGGATACTTTTCTTTTAAAAACAAAACAACAAAGAACTTAGGCCAAGGGTCAACTGAACAAACTATATAAATAACTCTACAAGATTAATTGGGTCTGATTGAAGGTGGATTTGGATGTCAGCATCCTGTTTTCAGCAATCCCTCCCCCACTCCAAGTGGTTCCAGAAGCATCCTACATCCAGACCCCCACCCTCAGGTTCAGATGAGCAGAATTTGAAAACCACAGATCAATAAGGAGAGCCGTCTGCACAGCT